GCCTTTGACAGGCCTTCTAAATTAAAGTTGCCTTTAACAGGCTGGCCAAGTTAAGTAAACAAAAAGGTTGCATGTGTGAACTTACAGGGTTAGGGAGGCACTTTAGCAAGCCTGTAAAGCACAGGGATTGCACTTTGACAGTTACCCACTAACGGAGTGGGGTCCTCTGGTCTCCACCACCAGACACTGAGGCCTCTTTTGAGGTGTTTATGGCAGGGCAATGAGGCGGGATGGTAAGAATTGTTTTTCTGATTACAATCCTAATATAGGGGACATTTGGATTCTCTCCCGGATAATCCCCAGCCAGGTGGGGGCAGGTGTTATCCTGACTGAGAGGAGTGGGATTCTGCCCTCAGGGTGGGAGTCCCCTTGTCCTGCCCCTGCTAAGGAACGGCCCGGGAAACTGTGTGCCGATCACCTTCAATGCCTCAGCGGTCACTGGTGAGTTGGAAGCGGCCAGGAGGGGAAGGGCGCCCAAGTCCCTGCTCAGCACGAGGCTCCCAGCCAGTCTTCCCTCCCAGATGGCTGCCCAGCAGCCTCTCCAGTGCCTCCAGGGTGGCAGTGCCACCACCACGCGAGGGCACAGCTTCCGTGGTCACTCGGGTTGGGCGTGTGGCCAGCCCAGCTGACGCCTGCCCGGAATCTGGCTTCCTGCCCCTGGAGCCCCTCATCCCAGGTCCTGCAGTCCCAGATGCCGGGAAGGGGTCCAGGCCCTCTTCCGCCTGACAGCCCCTCTTTCCTGATCTCTGTGCCCAGAAATGGGCAGGCTACTCACAAGGAGGCCTTACCAATGCCGAGTGGGGGGGGACCAGTTCCCCACATGGTTTGGAAGTCATCCTTGGGGTCCACAGCCTGATTTGATGCCACTGAGAACCCCATTGGGCCAATGCAGTGGCCACTTCTGGATCCATTCGAGAGTGGCTCTGTCACAGCGCTTGTAGCTACTTTCCTGATCGGAGTATCTTGGGGGACTTCATCCCTTTCAAAGAAAATGCTGGACTCAACAGGTTTCCTGTCAAATCCAGAATGGATCTTAAGACTCCTGCGCATGCTTCTTTGCTGAACCAGCTCCACCGTACCTCCCGATGGCCCACCTGACCCTGAAATCCATCCAGGCCAGGCACCCAGGGCCCTGTCCTAGTGGTTGGTACTTCCTGGAACCTGCTCCATTCCTGCCTAAAGCCATCTCAATTGAGGGCATTACTATTTCCCATGGCAGCAAATCCTGCAGTTAAGCAATACGCTGTGTGCAGAAATGAGTCCTTTGATCTGCCCTAAGCATTCCACCAACGGGGTTCAGGGGCTGATCCCCGGTTCAAGTCATAGGGGGGAGGAAGAATCCTAGCCTATTGGGGCTGTAAGGGGCAATGAAGGCCATCAGGGCCAACACCCTCCTGTTGCAAGACACCAAGTTACACCATCCCATTCAGGTGCCTGCCAGATTCTCCCTGAATGCCTCTAGTGTGGGAGACCCCACCGCCTCCCCAGGCAGCTGGTTCCACTGCAGTATTGCTCTAACAGTGAGGAAGCCTTTCCTGATGTCCAGCCTGAAACTGGTTTGTTGTTTTTGTGACTCTTCCTGGTACTTTCTCCAACCGTGTTGCACCTTAGCTGGGACAACCAGAACATGAGACGGTGTTGCTAGTGCAGTTGCTACAGAGAACTGTACAAGCGGAATAAGACCCAGAAATTCTACCTTCGCTTCCATTCCCCACTGTGACCAGAATGGCAGCTGACATTTTCAGAGTGAAAGTGTAATGGGCTGACATTTTCATCACACAGCCTACCCTCAAGATTCCTTCCTTGCTCACGACATGTTTCTGCAGAGCCTCTTCCCCATTTGGGTTCTTTGATGTTGAGTGAGGGCTGCACTCCGACTGAAGGCCTTTCCACATTCCGTGCATTTGTATGGCTTCTCTCCAGTATGGGTTGTGTTTAAAAAGATTTATTAAAATTTTAAACTAACACTAAAAACATCAATCATCTTATACATCAGACGTACTGGGTCAGCCCCCTACTCATTTTTTTAAAACATTCCTTAGTCATATTCAAATCCATTTATGATAACTTAAAAAACATATTTAAATCTAAGCCAAGTCCAAAAAACATGTTTAAGCCTATGCAAAGTCCCATTTCTCTAGCCAATAATAAAAGAAAAAATTCCCTAGTTTGATAGAAGTCAGTATCTTCTTTCTCCTTCAATGATAAATTCAGTCTGACCATTTCTGCACAATCCAGGATCTTTTAATCAATTCATCGATGGGTAATTCCTCATTGTTCCAGTATTACGCAAATATACTCCTCACCGCAATGATTTCATGTAAAATCAGATACATTTCTTATTTACTAATGTCCCAGTATAATGCCTAATAAAAAAAGAAATGTCAGGTTTAAGAAACTAAGAACTTTTGTACCACTTCCTCTACCATATATAATAAAAAATACCCAATTTATGTTTACATATCCAACATCCATTTGACATCTTTAAAAACTTCTTGGCTAATCTATTTGGTGACAACTGACACCTATAACACATCTTACGCAAGCTTTCTTTATACAAAGTTGCTAATATTTCATCTAATTTAAGCATCAATTAGTCAAATACTATTAACTCCTTAGAAATCCCCACTCTTTACAACCTTTAACATATCTTGATTGTATCTGCACCTTATGTCACCAAAAGATACCAACTCCTTGTTCTTGTATTTCTTAGCTCAATTTCAATCCTCCATCTTTATTCAAAATGTACATCATATCTAATAATCCCTTCAACATTCAATGCATTTGGATACAGAGAAGCTTCCATGGGTGAAAAAAACATCTTAGTATAACTTTTCCTACACCAACATTAATGGTTTTCTAGTATAGTAACTTCAAAAAAATAAAAAATCATGTAACTTAGCCTTCTCATACCACACAGAAATGTGCCAACCCATTTAAATAATTCCTTTTCTTCCTCTGTTTTCAGTATTTGGAGTGCTTGTTATAAATCAGTATCCATTTCCAGTGTCTGTGCTTCTTGTTGCAAATCAGTATTCACTATTTCTCCTCTCAGAATGACATGTAGTTAGTTCGGCACCTATCCCTCCTTCTTTTGAGGCACCCAATTCTTCCTCTTCAGACATACTTCTAAATTTTTCATTCAACTCTTGTGCCTTAACAATCGAGTCCGGTTTGTGTCTTGTAACGTTCCAGGTAAGAGATGTTCCTTCTGTCGATAGCCACCCAAACACAGTCTCTCTCAAACATTTGGATACCTTCTCCCTCTCTAGTATAACAAGCGAATCCCATGATAACTGGTTTATTGGCTTTATTCATTGTATTTCTTTATCCACTCTTTCAAGTTTTTCATATGCTTGTTGCATTTTTTGTGTATTCTGTTCAGTTTTAAATTGAACGACCATCAAAACCTCCTTAATAGAATTATCCAGTTTATCGAGACATTCTCTTTGTTCAATTGAAATGTTTTCCTGTTGAATTAACATCGCCTCTTGGGATGTCTCCCCAGCTGTTAAGGATGTCTGTATTGCCAGAAGCATCATTTGTAGCTCTTTTTGATATTTTCCAACATCTGCCACTTTGGCCTGATTAATTGAAGAGCTGATGTAGATGCCTTTTCGATAGTGGTAATAAATTTTACCAAAAATTACAAGATAGCAACATAGGAATAGAGAATAAAAATACTTGCTATAAATCCAAATAGCCACAGGGTAGCAGCAAAGGGCTATTTTTCTTTAAAAGGCAAAAAAAAAAAATGGCATCACGAGGTGATATTTTGGTATGAAAGTTGCTTTGACAAGAGTCCAATTGCTTCTGGGAAGAGTCCAAGAAAAAGAAAGAAAAATGGCGGATCAAAGCAAACTTTATCTTCTATCACGTTATTCTACAGTAATTATTTATTCTGATTCTTCACACTTGGGGAGGTGAGGGAAAAAATGGTCCTTCCCTCCAGCCCCAACCTTTCCAAAAGAGCCTCAGTTCCTCTCCCCCAGATCAGTCACCGCTTAAAACTCCGTGAGGGAAGGAAGAATTCCTCCCTCCATCATAGGGCTTCCCCTTTCTTCTTTATGCCAAATTAGAACCTGTTGCTGCTCTTCAAGGGTAGTATAGAAGAAAAAGAAGATAAAAATGCTCACCCAGCAGGTCCGATGAACTTCCAGCTAATTCTTCTATGCAATTCTCACGGATGTCAATGGCTAGTAGGGAGCTGTTATTCCCCCCTCTGTGTTGTCTGATTGAGAAAAGCCGAAATCTCTCCCAATAAATGCGGAGCCGCTACAACGCACAATTACAAGAGTGCGCAGACAATCTATTCTTCGCCCCGACAGGTCTTAGATGAGCCTCCCACAGCTCTCTGTCTTACAAATACTAGCGTGATAGCAGGAGCCCCCACTCCTCACAGCCATGCCGCCACGACGCCAAACTGGAAACCTCAAATGTGGGTTTTTTGATGCCTTAGGAGATGTCCACTCTGACTGAAGATCTTTCCACATTCTGTGCATTTGTATGGCTTCTCCCCAGTGTGGGTTTTTTGATGCCTTATGAGATGTCCACTCTGACTGAAGGTCTTTCCACATTCCATGCATGTGTACGGCTTCTCCCCCGTGTGGGTTCTTTGATGCAGTGTAAGACATCCCCTCCAACTGAAGCTCTTTCCACATTCCATGCACGTGTATGGCTTCTGCCTGGTGTGAATCCTGTGATGTTGAGTAAGGTCTCCACTTACACTGAAGGCCTTTCCACATTCCGTGCATTTGTATGGCTTCTCTCCAGTGTGGGTTTTTTGATGCCTTGTGAGATGCCCACTCTGACTGAAGGTCTTTCCACATTCCATGCATGTGTATGGCTTCTCCCCATTGTGGGTTCTTCGATGCTTTCTAAGACTTCCACTATGAATGAAGCTCTTTCCACATTCCATGCATGTGTACGGCTTCTCCCCAGTGTGGGTTCTTTGATGCAGTTTAAGATAGCCCCTCCAACTGAAGCTCTTTCCACATTCCATGCATGTGTATGGCTTCTCCCCAGTGTGGGTTCTTTGATGCAGCATAAGATATTCCCTCCAACTGAAGCTCTTTCCACATTCCATGCATGTGTGTGGCTTCTCCCCTGTGTGGGTCCTTCGATGATGACTACGACCTGCACTCCCACTGAAGGCCTTTCCACATTCCATGCATTTGAATGGCTTCTCTCCAGTGTGGGTTCTTTGATGGCTTTTAAGATTTCCACCACAAGTGAAACTCATTCCACATTCCATGCATGTGTATGGCTTCTCTCCAGTGTGGGTCCTGTGATGTTGAGTAAGCTCTCCACTCCCACTGAAGGCTTTTCCACATTCCATGCATGTGTATGGCTTCTCTCCAGTGTGGGTTCTTTGATGCCTTATGAGATGCCCACTCCCACTGAAGGCCTTTCCACATTCCATGCATTTGAAGGGCTTCTCTCCAGTGTGGGTTCTTTGATGCCTTATAAGAGGTGCACCAGAAGTGAAGCTCTTTCCACATTGCATGCATTTGTATGGTTTCTCTCCAGTGTGGGTCCTGTTATGTTGAGTAAGCTCTCCACTCCAACTGAAGCTTTTTCCACATTCCATGCATGTGTATGGTTTCTCTCCTGTGTGGGTCCTGTGATGTTGAGTAAGATCTCTACTCCTACTGAAGGCCCTTCCACATTCCGTGCATTTGAATGGCTTCTCTCCAGTGTGGGTTCTTTGATGCCTTATAAGATTTCCACCAGAAGTGAAGCTCTTTCCACATTTCATGCATGTGTATGGTTTTTCTCCAGTGTGGGTCCTGTGATGTTGAGTAAGATCTCCACTCGCACTAAAGGCCCTTCCACATTCCGTGCATTTGAATGGCTTCTCTCCAGTATGCGTTCTTTGATGCTTTCTAAGAGTTCCACTCTGACCAAAGGTCTTTCCACATTCCATGCATGGGTATAGCTTCTCTCCAGTGTGGGTTCTTCGATGCTTTCTAAGACTTCCACTCTGACTGAAGGACTTTCCACATTCC